GTTTGCTTTACTTTTCTTAATTTGTAAATAGATATGTGTAAAATTGCTTTTTTGATGAACATTTACCAAATTTACGCATCTTCACTTTATAAATTATGAAAAGTAAAGAAAACGTATGCTATAATAATGTATTTTTTGGTGCTGAACAAGTTTACATAGAACTTAAAGTCATATTATATTAGTAAAAATTTGGTTTATGATAAATTTCTATATTTTTATTAATAAAAATATAGAAAATCTATTATAAACTAAATTTTTACTAACATAATAAGCCTTTACGTTCTAAGTAAACTTGTTTAGCACCAGAAAATACATTATTATGGCATACGTTTCTTTATTTTTCTTAATTTGTAAAGTGAAGATGTGTAAAATTGCATTTTTGATGAAAATTTACCAATTTTGCCACTTTTTATTTAAATAATTTACAAACTTAAAGAAATATATGCCAAAATGATATATTTTTTGGTGCTAAACAAACGTATTCAGAGCTTAAAGTTATAATGCATTAGTAAAATTATGTGTAATAAAGATGTTTCTATATTTTTATTAATAAAAATATAAAACCTCCTATATTTCTCAAATGTTTACTAATAATATATATCTTTAGGTTCTAAGTAAACTTGTTCAGCACAAATAAATACATTATTCCGGCATGTATTTGTATTTTACATAAGTTTATTAGAGACTCAAAGTAATAATCAATTGGTAAAGCTATATATACTATATACAGTATATATTTATTATATATATTTTTAAATCGGCCAATCAGAATTGTCTTATGTGGGGGAGGGGGTACCCTCATAGTAAATTAATATTACGTAATATCTGTCAGCGCCCTTACAGAAACTAAAATCATAAATTCTAAAAACAAAAAAAAAATTTCTTTTTATTAGACTTAGATTCTATTGTGGGATCGGTATCTTATGCATATCTAAGTGCTCTGTCTTGCCCTCTTGATACTGTGTACCTTCCAATTATTCAAATTCCAAGATCTGATTTTTCTTTACGCCCAGAATCAGAATTTGTTTTTCAAAAATGTGGTATTTCTACTGTTTCACTAATCTTTCTTGATGAAATTTCGGATCTTCTCTCTATTATTTCAACATCATACAGCCTTGGCTTAATCCTTCTAGATCACAATAAATTGATAGGAATTTGGAATCAGTTTTCAGATAAAGTTGATACAATTTTAGACCATCATCAAGATGAAGGTCTATATTTAAATATTAGCGAGAGATGTATTGAAAAAGTTGGATCTGCTACATCATTAGTGGTTTTAAAATTTAAAGATGAATGGAAAAAGAAACTTAATGATTATGAAGAAGATACACAGAATTGGAATGAAACTATTGCAAAATTTTTATTATCCGCAATTTTGGTTGACACTGTGTTATTAGACTTTTCAAGTGGCAGAACAAGCCAAAAAGATCAAGAAGCTGTAGATTTCTTGCTGGATGTCATACACCCACCAAATCACAAGACATTTATTAAAAATTATTATGATGAGATTCAAAATTCTAGATTTAATATCACTCATCTTTCAAATTTTGACCTATTACGAAAAGATTATAAAGAATATAATTTAGAATGGACAATAAAAAATGAAACAAAAACTTGTGTTATGGGAATTAGTTCTGTATGTTGGACTTTAAAAGATTGGATTCAACGTGAAGGTGGTATTGAGAAGCTTATGGAGACAGTGGGAAATTATATGCAAGAAAAAAAATTAGATTTAGAAATTATCATGTTGGCATTCGATTATAAAGGGGATGTGGGATTTAAAAGAAAAATGATTATTTATTCAAAAAGAGGACCATTTTGCCAAAAAGAAGTTTTGGAAAAGTTTGAAGAAATTATTGGATTGAACGAGATTAAAGATTTTGGAAATGAAGAAGGTAATAGGGTGGAAAAGGAAGGGAGTATATTTAAATGTTATGAACAAAATAATGTTGAAATGTCAAGAAAAAAAGTTTATCCTATTATTAAAGAAAATCTGAATCTTAAACAGATATATTTTCATGCCAAGGGTATGTTTTTTGATATAAGATAATTTATATTTGTTTAAGAAAGTATTTTTTTTTTTTAAATATATACTATCGATTTTTTAAGTAACTTTATTTAAATAATTCTAAGTTTTTAAATTATTAAACAAAAATTTATATGTTTATATAAGCTTTTTTAAAATTTTAAGTAATTTTATTTATTAGACAACAAAGAATTGAAATATAGCTTTTTATATAAATTAACAAAAATTTTAATTCTTTATATTATTTGAAATTTTAATAAAATTTTTTAATCATAGTAAATAGTAATATCTAGCCATTTTATATTTATAAAATTAACAGAATTCTTCACCCAACATCTTTGTAAAAAACTCTCCGATCTTTGGAAAATAATCTGACTGTGAAACAGTATCATAATGTGACCCATTCTCTATTTCCTGAAACATTTTTCCACCACTAGTGTTCGCTAGATCATATAAAATTTTCATATGTTGAGGTGGGACAACTTCATCTTTTAAACCTGAAAGAAATAAAATTGGAATCGTTTGAAGTTTTGTTATGTAACTTTCAGATGGCCAAATTTCGGAACAAAGGAAAGTTAAATAGCGAAGCTTTGGGGCTATATGGGGAATCACTTTTGGCTATTTATTCATTGATAATTTGATGTTGGTTAATAAAGAATGATACTTAACACATATAAATCGCATGATAAATTTAATTATACAAAACTTACAATACTCAAAAAAGTATTTTCAATAATTAGTGCATCAATTTTAGATTCGTTCCTAGAAGTCAAGTCGAGTGCTACAGCTCCGCCAAGTGATTGTCCATATACTATTAATTTCGTATCTTTTAATATACTATCTTGCTTAATGTAATCCAATGCAGCCTATTTTTTTAGAGAAAAAATCTTGAGGTTAGTAACTTAATATATTTATAAAAAAATTAACATTTACGAACCTGTGCGTCCAGACGAAGTCCGTTTTCTGAAGGAGATCCGTCACTTTTACCATATCTACAAAAATAAAGTTAGATTCATTATTGAATAGAAATTCTTATTGTTTTTTTAACTAAATTACGATGATGACTCACCCTCTGTAAGAAACCAACATAACATTACATTTGAAATTTTTATAAAACTTTTGTGCAATTGGTAATCTATGACCCTATATCCAATTTCCTATCAGCTATGAGAAAGCCAACGAATCGGAAGAATTTGCTGAATTATTGAATTAAAAAATCATACCATATTACCACCAGGTCCCTATTCAAAAAAAATAAAATAAAAAAAAACTTAGACTTTCGATAGTATAAGAAGACATAACATGAACGAACTTACATGAAGTATTAATACAGTAGGCCTTGTGCTAGCTTCTTCAACTCTTTTGCAAACATAAGCACGAATCTTTACATCATCTCCTGTTTCCAAAATTACACTAATATAGTTCAAACCATAAACTGACGGTTTTGAGACCTGTAATTTGCGTTTATAAGAATTTATGAATCAAAAATGGCTCAAATAAGATATTAAAAATTAAGTTGCATTTATTTACAAAGATGAGAGCATGTATAATTATTAACATATATGTATACATTATTGGGCAAAAATTTGTGAATAACGGCAATTTGCCCAATAATGGTATTATATGATCATGATTGGTAGGGAGTCACTCGCTGAGTTTTTTTTTTTTGAATGTTGGAAAAACATAATTACATCGTAAC